GTCTCCAGCCATTATTAGTCTCAAATGGGTTCCTCGTCATCGAATTCGAAATCGAATTTAAGCTTCTAGACAGTTTGCACAATATAAACTATTATTCACCTGAATTCACTCTATTAACCAAATTAGTTTTATTTGCCTTACATGCAAGAATTGGTAACAGAAAGAGAAGAAATGGTTAGTTGAGTTCAGTGCTGAAACAGCTGTATCAGGTGAGTTCAGTTAATTGGCTCAGTCAGTTGTTTAGATAGCTTAAGCAGGAGAATTGATAGCAGATAATTTCGGAGTTACACTGTAATAAACAAAAGATAAATATAATTTATAATATTATAAGGTCAAACCATGAATCACACACCTTGCTTCATTATTAGAAAATTAGGCACCTTGTGGTGAATCACTTGATCTGAAATGCAAATAATTGCTTATTTGTTCTATTCTTATGCTTGTTTCATTTGTTACTTTTAATTTTACTGGAGCATAAAGGGCTTCAAATTTATCATAACTTCATGGCTAGACCTCAAAGAAGACGTGGATGTTTCATTAACATGAAGGGTCATTGAGTGAAAGGAAGACAATCAATCTCAATAGGTAATTGTGAATTGGCTTTGTGTGTATCAAAGTGTCATTGGCATAATATGAAACTGCATCCAAACCTACTTGGACACATGGACAAAGCAGATTATCATCCACAACCCAACCAATGACACATTTACAGCTGGATGTCCTACCAATGTACAGATGGTCAAAAGCAGTAACTTCATGATGCTGGCTTGCATGCCAGAAGATTCTTCAAATGGATTCTGCTCATGGCAAGGTGCAAAATAGTTCAGATATATTGATGCCTATAACATACCCCGTGAACAGATAAGTGAAGCATTAATATTTTTGCAGATGAGTTGTGCTTAACCCTGAAGCAATGTAGGAGGAGTATACTCATTTTTAGATATTTTGAAGTAATTCCAAACCATTTTCATGCAACATTTGTTGGTGGCATAGGTATTATATGGGCAGGAATAAATATAGGATGATATATCAACCTTTACATCCTTTTTAATATTACCATTAATGCCACACATTATAGGAACCACAACCTACAACCAGCTATATACTGGTGCAATTACCCTTGACTGTGTTATCAGCCTAATAGATGACAGTACCAAGCCCCAACATGCTACAACAGTAATTGACAAATTGCTTGAAGAATAAAGGATTCATTAAATGCTCACTGGACTTCAATCCCATTGAGTATGCATGTTCTTGTTGGAGATAGTCTCATCGTATCATGTGACTCCAGACACAGTTCTTTTAGCGAAGTAATTGAGATTACCACAGGATCTTATCAAAATCCTTCTTTTAAGCATGCATCATAAGTATCAGGCTGCTCCTGCTGTTTGTCATGACCTTATTTCATAATTGATTTGAATTTTGCATAACAAGTAATTGAGAAGAGATGATTGACAGTATAACAGTGGTTTCACCTTGTCATAGCTGAAAATATTATAAATTTCTCTTATCCTTTGTTTTGTGTAACAGGAGTAAAACTAGATCAGACACGTCATTTATAATATTATCAAAAAATTATTAAATAAATAGCTGACAGAAACAACTATCATTTAGGTGAATTTATAATCACATAAATATCTTGGTAGCATTGTAGATAATAATCAGTATTAATTTAGCTCTAGTTTTTCACAGCACAAAAGAAGAATTGATCATATTTGAATATTGATTGTTAATTGTATCAGATCATCAAATTATTGTCCATTGTTAGTGATTTTTCTTACAGAGGGCCTGGCATGGCCTGATAGTTAGGGTGCTTGACTTGCATTCTGTGGGTTGTGAGTTAAAATCCCATTGTAGAATGTGCTCGCCCTTTCAATTGTGTGGGCATTATAATGTGACAGTCAATCCCACCTTTTGTTGGTATAACAGTAGCCAAAGAGTTGGCAGTGGGTGGTATTGACTAGCTGCCTTCCGTCTAGTGTGTCACTTCAAAATTAGAAAGGGCTAGCACAGATAGCCATTGAGAAGCTTTGCACAAAAATTAATAACAAACTATTTTCTTACAGGTAAGAAAAAATAACTGATTCTTAGATATAACAGTATGAAAACTTTTCAACTGTATTCTCAAGTACAAATATTATTCTGTAACTTTTAATCTTAAACATTTATGTTATCTTGTCAGTTAGAAATTGCTGCACTAAAATACTTGGGTTTTTAAGTATTATCAGAAACACCTACACTACCTATCTCCCTCATACAGTACAGTATGTTGTACCTGATCAATTAGTACATCTTGGTTAGGTTGCTAAGTTTTCATATCATAGCTGTTTCAGTTTCTTTATCAAACCTTGATAAAAGTATTTTGGTACTGTAACACTTAAGTGTTATTTTACTATCAAGCCTGTATTTTTTTCTGTGTAGTTTTTAAGACTTTTTTGTTTAATATAACCAAAGCAGCTTTTGATTATTGTACTTTCTTTTATTGGTTAGTGTAAGAGAGTCAAGAATTGGATGTTTTGGAGACTTTTTAGTATTCTCATCAAACATTCTTGAAATATATTCATAGAGATTTGAGTTAATGTTCAACATAATTACATAAAAGATTATAATGTGTTTGATCAGCAGTTCCCAAACTGTGGATCATGGGATGAACAAGGGAAGCATACAAGGCTGGAGATACTGTAGACATTATTTACTTTCAAGCTACAAATCCCTATTTTAACTCCATGCTGTTAGCTACAATTACATTTGGTGAAGTCAAAATAAGGACTTGTAGTGTAAGTAACTAATGTCTACAGTATCTCCAACCTTGTTTCATTACTTTTTTTATGATCTTTATTTGCAAATTTTTAAATTCCCAATTTGTTATTCATTTTGTGTCTCAAACCTTAAGCTTGTTTGTTTACTTTTTTTTTAAGCTAGCTATCTTGATCCTGTATGTTTTTATGATCCCTATTTCCCTTTTTAAATTCCCAATTTTTAATAATCTTGTTTCTTTATTTTTTATGTTCATTATGGACATAAATGTGTATAATAGCAATACTGTCCTATTTGAAACAGTTTAGTTTAATGAAATACATAGTTGGTGTATGATGCTCTCTCTCGGGAAACAATAACCACCCTTGGATTGGCTTCATGGAGATTGGAGGACAATTGCTTCTGATATCATTGCCACAATGTTATCTTTGACAGTGGCACTGTATATATGATGGGTGGTGATCAGTATACCACATGCAGGGATCGAAATATTTCATTCCCAAGGAATTTAACTATGCTTGAGGAATTTCATCTCTTTAGTTATGACCGATGAAATTTAACATATTGCATGGATTAAATAAAAAACAGTTCACTAGGAAGCGCAACTTTACATGATGGAATGTAATCTTCCTGATAACTTTTCCTCGAGTGAATGTAATTTTATTTCATTATTTCTATCCCTGACATGTTATGTATATACTTGTGAAATACATATAGCTACTATATTTATATCCTTTAACTATATGGGGAGCTTGTTAAATCTGGATTAGAAAGACTAATGAACTATACTGGAATGGTGCATGGACTGGA